AATTTAGCTGTCGTGGTGCTTTTTTTCTGCTGCTTAGTCAATGTTTAATTTAGAAATAGAAAACTCATAATGATTATAGAACTACATGGCTGAAGGTGGCAGCACGTTGGAGTAGCTCTGATGGCTTGATTGATGTCTGTTTATTAAAGACCTTCCGTTCTTCTGTTTGTGGTTAAAAGCAGCTGGGGGGGATTTTTTTTATTTTTTATTTTTTATTATTATTTATTTTTTTACCCAACCCTGGTGTTGCGGAGCTGAGCAGCTGAAGAAAATCTTTGCCAATATTTTATTTTTTTTCTTTTCATTTTTGGACATTTGTTATGATGTGTAACCATAGCAACAATATACTTTTTTTTTCTCCCACTGTGGAGCAGCTCATTAACATCTAAAAACCTGCAATAATCCTTCAAATGCTTTCATGAGTTCCAGTTGAGTTGAAAAGAGGGTGCTGGTGATGCAGAGCGAGAGCAAGGAGAGGAGAGAGGAGGAGGACATTCAAGCCACCTCTTCCATCAGTCATGATGGGAAATGAGGACGATGTCATAAAGATGAAGTCTTCATATAATGAAGAACATTATGTAAAACCATGAGCAGCCGCTTTAGAAGGTGGTTAAACAACCACAGAGTATATTTAGTCAGAGGCTTTCTCCAGATCTGGTTCAATACAGACCTCTACAGAAGATCCTTAATGCCTTTAGCTATTAACATACAACACAGAATACCACTCTGGGCCTGTGAGCAAGAACATTATCCCCCGATTCCTCCCCGGGCGCCCCACGATGGCAGCCCACAGCTCCCCTAGGGGATGGTTGAAATGCAGAGATAAATTTCTCCAATGTGAGATCAATAAAGGTAGTTAGTCCCACCGTTTCCATCTTCCATCGGCAACATTCTGAACCACAACAGAGGAAAGAAGCAGGGAGAAATCTCCCTTTGCTCTGCTGTCAGACAGAGAGGAATATGTAAAGGAAAACTAGTACAAGCTGCATGTTACTGAACAAGCACAAAAGTCCCAGAGCTCTGCTTTCCTGCAACTTTCCCTTACATCCCTGCTCCATCTCACCTGAATAAGAAGCATTAATAAGGACCAAGACTTTGCAGGATTTTCCTACCCCCCCGAGAAGGTAATTATGTGCTGGAGCAGAAATGTATGTGAAAGTTCCATACAGATGCTTTTAGTCAAAAACCAAAAGAAAAGTGCCTTTATTCTCTTCTGTAGTGGCGAATATGGACATAAATCGATCAAACTTTGCCTCAGAATCATACGGCTGTACCCCGTCCAACTGAAAAGCAGCACCACAGATCAGAAAATATATTAACAATCAATTAAAAATGACTAATTATGGGCGTTCTCAGCTCTGCTGCTGCAGCAGGATCCTCTCTGGTATGATCAGCCTGTCTTTTTATTTTAAAACTTCACTCTATGCTTTTCAGTGAGCCTGTAAAACACATAAATTATGTTTTATTATTTTTTATTCACTCTCAAGGACAGCATGCAATTATAAAGGGAAAGATAAACAAAGGTGTTCGCAAACTCAAAACTCAAGCACTTTTTTTTCCCATGATGCAGATAAAGCGGACGTCCAGCAGCATATTTAGGGCTGTTAAAATGTGGGGAAATTTTTTGTACAGTAGTTTAATCAAATTCATGACGGCATGGAAAAGCAGATCTTGGTGTGGATGGAGATCTCCTTATGTCGTATAGAACATTTAAGTAGTGAGACAATTCAAAGGGATGTACATGGGGAAAAACAGAAATACAGGGCAATGGCATAAAGGAAATGTAAATACTTGGAGTCAAAGGCCAGTTTAAACTAATGGGTTTATAATTTCAACTCAAAGCAACTGATGTTTTCAGAGCTTTTCCAGTTTTCTGGGAGTTTATTCCAGATCAGTGGAGAACAACAACTAAAAGCTGCTTCTCCATGTTTGGTTTTAGTTCTGATCTGTAGACCTGAGTGGTCTGGCTGTTGATCTCCTGCCAACCAGTCTGTAATGTATTTTGGAGTGAAGACATTCAGTGATTTCTTGACTAAAAGTCTATTCTCTGAGATAAGCGGAGCCAGTGGAAGGACTTTAGAACTGGGCTGATGTTCTCTACTTTTTTATTTCTAGTGAGGACGCAGGCAGCAGTGTTCTGGATCCGCTGCAGCTGCTGATCTACTTTTTAGGCAGACCTGTGAGGACACCAGTACAGGGATAAATTCTACTAAAGATGAATTTTTTTACATTGGGTCCTTGATTTTACGTTATTACATCATGTTCTACTCACCCATATGAGTTTTGTGTCATTTGGAGCCGTTCTGAAGATATTCGGTTTTGTAATTCGTATGGGCAATGAGTTGAAGGCACAAGCTAAACTGTTCATAATTTATTCTTTATGGTACGCCAGCATTCATAACATGTAGGCGAATCACTGTTCCCAGGACATCCATTGCTCACCATCGCTTCTTCGGTTGATGATCCATTGATCCTCCTGTTGTAACTTGATTAGGAAATGTTCAGCTGCTCTTTCTGCATCATCCTCTCCTCCAATAATAGCTGCTGTTTCAACCTCCCTGCATTCTCCAATGACAGCGTATGTACTTCTTATGTCACATCCCTAACATTTCAGATGGATTTGTTGATCCTTCAGTTGTGTTTAGAGTACTGAAAGCCTGTAAGCGCTGACCTGTCATCCAGGATCTGTTTAATTTACTGCCTATTGATGGATTGTTTTGGTTTGTTCAGCTTCGTGCCCTTTCCAGGGGAACCCCATGGAGTACCATGGCAGTTTTTGGTTTTCCTTCACTGGTAGAGGAGCTGATGTTGGAGCTCAGCAGAGCTGGTGTCAGAGTATCTCCTGCGGTGTCTGATTTCAGGAGGACATGCCATGTCTTGTGTTCCCTGCTTATGTGGCTAAAATATGTACTCCTGTTTTTTTGAGTGAGTCCAAAAACGTGTCTTAAAATACTTGGTCTTCTAACTCTCATTAGGTTTGTGTTGGTTTATGAGAACGTCAGTGAATAGGAAACTGTTCTGGTCATGGCCTCCCATTGGGACTATTGCAAAATCAGGAAGGAACTGATGTTCATCTTCTTATTGCTGACATTAGATTGTCTTGGTGTCAGAGTTGTTGCCAAGGCTGAAACTGTTTCTCTACAAAACAAAAAAGTGTATAGTATTTTTTTTTCTTTCATAATAGAGCCGTTGTTTCCCTGTTTTTATTATTATACCAGGAAGTTAAACAGCTCTGACCAACACAAAAAAGAAGAANATTCTTTATGGTACGCCAGCATTCATAACATGTAGGCGAATCACTGTTCCCAGGACATCCATTGCTCACCATCGCTTCTTCGGTTGATGATCCATTGATCCTCCTGTTGTAACTTGATTAGGAAATGTTCAGCTGCTCTTTCTGCATCATCCTCTCCTCCAATAATAGCTGCTGTTTCAACCTCCCTGCATTCTCCAATGACAGCGTATGTACTTCTTATGTCACATCCCTA